GATCCAGTATTAATTGCACCACGTTTAGTGGCACTTCTTAATAGTGGAGATATTTATGTGAATAGTTTAACCGATGATATCGCCTACAATATTTTAAAAAAGCTTACCATCACGAATTCATCTGCTAATGTTACACAAATTATTAATCCAAAACCTCATTTCGGTTTCCCAGTTGGTTTAGCTTTAGATACTAAAAATCAAGTATATGTTACAGATGCTGATATTCCATACGGTTACATTCATATGTTTGCATCAAATGGTACTGAAATAGGCAGAATTTATACAAACAATCCACCACTGAAGCATCCTCATGGTATAGCTACAGATTTGCAAGGTAATCTGTATGTTGCTGATAGTGGTAATGTTCGTGTGATTAAATTATCAATTAATGGAACGATAATACAAAATTATCAAACGACACCACCATTACAATATGTTTATGACGTTAAAGTGAGAGATGACGGAGTTGTTTATATATCCGATTCTGAGTGTGCATGTATCTATCAGCTAACTAATGACGGTAAGCAACTTGCAGTCATAAAATTAGAAACACAACAGCGCCTAGTCAATCTGCTTATTACTCTTTTTCCGTCTGCGGCTTCTTCTGATCCTGATCTATTAGTCACAATGACTGATCCTTTTTCACCCCAAGTTAATCGTTATGCATCAAACGGTACTCTAATAGCAGCTTATACAATTCCGATAGCAGCTTATACAATTCCGATGTCAGCTTCAACTAGCTGGACACCTTATGCTTCTGTCATTGATGAAAAGCGTCGGTGGTTGATTGTAGTGGAATCAGGAGGAAGAATTATGTTTTTTGACTTATGACTGTATTTCATGTTCAAAGAATGAATGTCTACTATTTTTGGGATACATGTGCAAAATCGTAGCTTCTCAAAAGAGATGCCTTTTAATTAAACATCATAGCTATAGCTCTTCTAAGTTACATTTTTAGGACAAAATTCACTGAAAACAATCTAGAGACCGTATAAAACACTCACATTTTTATATTTTATATATATATCAGAAAAATATAACACAAATCTCTTCAAATTTTAACCTTTGAAGCGTTAAAATAATCGTAGTTGAACTCCATGCGAACTTGGGTGAGGGTGAGTTTAAATAACTTTATCGTCCGAGAAAAAAACAGAAGAATTCCAAGAAGAAATTCTTTCTATTATCATTTCACTTGTTCACGATATCAAGCTTGTATAAGGGTGCATCCATCAGAAACATACCACGATATACAAAAGTTTTGGCGCCAGTGACGAGACCCTTCTAGGCTTGTGAAGCACTTCCTAATCACACTAATGGTAAAAACTGCACCTCACTAGCTGATGCGGAACCCGACATATCTCTATTTTAGTGTTACATTGACTGTGGCACCTTTATGGTGTTTTTTCAGTTAAAATTGGATTTTTGCATTGCTTATAACTCGGCTATTCCTGTTCCGATTTTTGTCGGCCTAGTCGTAAATTAAAGCTTCTGCTTAGATGTATCATTGGTAAAAAGAATGAGCGATGCCTATTGAGCGGTTGCGGAGAAAATGGTTTTACAACTTTGAACACTTCTTTCATGTTTCATGAATTTTTCAATGTTGACGTGTCAATAAGTGCCGCAACGTAACTTGTCTAGGCAACTTTCGATGCTGATTTCGAATATAATCAGCAAAAATAGCATTGAGAATAAGATATCATACATGATACGTGGTGTGCAGTGGCGTATCTAGAATATTTTTCTCTTGCGTTCTTCGCTGTGTATACTGAGCAATTGAGTGTGGGTATGGGTGTGGGGTGTGTTGATAGATAAGATTGAGACAATATAAATCAATAGCTAGCAAGACCAGTTTCGATAAGTACTACTGAAGCTTAAACTTATCAATTGCTTATGATGTTAAAGAATAATATACCCAGGTCAATGATGTCCGGTCGTAAACGGTCGTACACAGTCAAATACGGTGGAAAACGGCAGCCGTGTACGATGACTGTTTACTGTGATCGTAAACGACGCTTTACGATCTATTACGATCATCGTAAATGACTAACGTAAACTCACATCGTTTACGACTTCCGTAAAAATACATTGACTGTAAACGAGTATCGGACAAAGTCGTAAGTCATCGTATACATCAACAGTAAACGGTTCAATGAATGTTCATCGGTTTTTGACGTACTTTGTCGTAAACGGTGGTTGTCGTCGACGACCTACTGTTTTTAAACGTAGCAATGATTTCATTAATTCAACTCTAACAGACCTCAGTTTCCAATTAATGTTTTCCTAATCTATCGAAATTAGAAGAACGATATCGGTGTAAGTATGGACGTTGGTGAAGAGAATATCCACACCAGCACCCACATAGCATCCACACTCATGAATTCATATTGGAAAGGGACTGAAACGCTTTATTCTAACTTAGCCTCTTCTTTCAGGTGATTTCTACAGAGAAATTACACGATTCCTTCAGTAGGTCAATGAGTTGATTTTGTCGACTAGCTGCCTGAGCCAACATAGAAAAAAACGAATCAAAGGCATTTTTTACCAACCACCTTCGTTTACCACATTTTCAAGCGAAAATCATAATTTTTGTGAAAAAAGATCTTTAACGGTGTTCCATGGTTTTTTTTTGAAATTTCTCGAATGAGTTCGTTTTTTCATCCAAAAGTCTGGATTCATATTGGAAAATGGCTGCAAAGACATTTTCCTAGCTTAGCATTTTGGTTCAGATGATTTCCACAGAGAAGTAAGACAACCTCTTAAGAATGTCAATGAGTTGATTTTCCCGACCAATTTCATGACAGTACATAGAAAAAAGCAATTAAAAGTCTGTTTTAGGTGATCTTCTTGTTTTAAGAAATGTTAATACGGAAATCGGCTTTTTCGTGCACAGAGATTCTTTTAGTATTGCAACACTTTTTTTGAGATTTCGGGAATGTTTTCAGTTTGTCATGAGAACGCACGGATTTATATTGTAGAAGGAACTCAAACACGGTACCCTAACTTTGCGTTTTCTTTCTGATCACTTCTACAGAGAGGTATCAGGATTTCTGAAAATTGACAATGAGTTGTTTCTCGCAACGAATTGCATGGACTCAAGTAGAAAAACTCAACTAAGCACAATGTTTAGGTGACCATATTGTTTAACCAGACTTTGACGCTGAAATTAGAGATTTCACAAAAACGTCTTTAAAAGAATTTCAACGCATGTTTTTGAAATTTCATGAAAAAGTGCATTTCTTTATTGAAAAGCATCCATTCATGTAAGAAAAGAAGTTCAAAGCCCTTAATCTAGCTAAGCATTTTATTTCACATGATTTCAACAGAAAAATCAGAATTTTTTTAAAGCCTGTGTCAATCTGTTAATTTCTACATTGGACGGCATGGATTTGCATAGATATAGCAATTGAAGTCCTTTTTCACCTGATCAGCTTCTTGCACACGTCTTTTACTAAAAATTCAGAGTTTCTCTGCAGAAAAGTCTTTAAAGGCATTTAAAGACCTTTTTTTGGGTTTCGTACATCAGTTCATATTTACATATAAATGTATCTACTCAAACAGCAAAGGGATTCAAAGGCGTCATTGGAGGTGAACATTTACTATCACATGATTTAGATCGAGAAATGAAAGGCTTTCTCAAATGCATCAACGAGTTGATTTCTCTGATCAACTGCATGGAGTCGCATAGAGAACCCAACTGAACTTTTTTTTTAACGTGAACACCTTGTTTTTGATGATTTCGACAGAGAATGGAGAGCCGGTTTAGACACTTTCTTTCAAGGGGCTTTAAAGTGTTTCTTTCTCAACTTTGTAAGCGAGTTCCTGTTTCTATCTCACACCTTGGAGTCATGTGGAAAACGCCTTTAAAGGTGTTTAAAGAAGTTTCATCCGTACCTTTGTAAGTAACTTCCATTAGGCATCCAGCTGCTTGGAGTCATGTAACACAGGGCATTTAAAGGCCTTTTAGTAAGCAAGTGCAGTGTTCTAGATGATTTCAAAGAGGAAATCAGTTTTCGTGAAAAACGCCTTTAAAGACGTTTAAGGAAGTTTAATGGCAAACTTGGTAAATAAGTTGAAATGCGCATTCAGACGCTTGAATTCATATAGTAAAGGCATGTAAAGGTCCTTTTGTAAGTAATTGCACTGTTTTCGATGAGTCAAACGAGGAAATCAGAAGTTCTCTGGGTGTGGGTGTGGGTGTCGGTGTGGGTGGGTGTGGGTGTGGGTGTGGGTGGGTGTGGGTGTGGGTGTGGGTGGGTGTGGGTGTGGGTGTGGGGTGTGGGTGTGTGGGTGTGGGTGTGGGTGTGAGTGTGGGTGTTTCTCTCCCTTCAATGAGACCCACACCCACACCCACACCCACACCCACACCCCACACCGACACCCACATCCACCCACACCCATACCCACACCCACACCCATACCCACCCACCCACCCTCCTATTTACATAACTAACAAACTTGTTTTTGAAATATCACGATTAATTGCTGATTTTTTTGGTATCGCCACTAATAACTAAAACTAGCGCGATTTTGATGACATGGAAAATGACTGAGCATTGCTATAATTTCTTAGCTTGAGTCAAAAAATTTTAAGCTAAATAATTCTCCAGTCTAATCGCGCTATATCGATAATATAAAACAATTGCCGATCAATCGCGATTTTTCAGAATATTGACGATTAATCGCGATTTCAGAAAACTAACGATTAACCACGATTTTTCAGAATATCGACGATTAATCGCGATTTTCCGAAATACTGACGATTAATCGCGATTAATTGGCAAACGTTTTTCTAAGAATCGCGATTAATCGTTAGTATTTGGAAAAATCGCGATTAATCGTGAAAACTTAGGCGATTTTGACGACATGGGATACGTTAATAATACTTTTCCGCGAAATTTGTCTTTGCCATCTCCCACAAAAATTTTCCTAGTATGAGAAGATTTGTTTCGTCATGCACAAAATTTCTCTTTCATGTCCATGAGAACTTCTTTCAAAACATGTTATTCATCATTACACAGTCTCATTTGAACGATCCAAACTTGGTTAATATCGTTACGCTTAACTTTGTCTAATCGAAAAATCGAACCGATCATGAAGAGTACTTCAGCTTCATCTTCATATTTGCTCAATTCTGCAAGAGCGGCAAATGGTTTCGTTATAGCCATTTGAGGATTAGCGTCAATTTCGAATAATACACTAGCTAAGTTTTCTGTATCATCAGGTGTCTTAAGAAATTTAAGAGCATTGTCTTTATAGATACTAGTAGAAAAAAATGAATTCATCGAAATGAATTGACCACATGACTTTCTTAATGTTTCTAATTCATTATTTGATATTATTTGACAACGATAAACTCGAATAGAATTGCGAACTTGACGATTTTTCAATTGTTGTTGAATATCAGCAATATATTTACGAAAAAGAAATATTGCATGAATATCTGACTGACGAAGAGCAGCATTAAGTGTCTTGTAAAAAAATGATTCTCGCGTATACGATCGTAAAGCATTTTCAGATGAATAATGCTCTTGAAATTCACCAATATTACTCAGTTCAAAATTATTACCTTTATATTTCTGTTTACAAAATTCTATCAATTCTTTTTGATCAGCTTCAGTATATTTTAGTCGAGTAATGCAATCCATAAAGACTTGTGAAAAGAGAAAATTATTATTTATGCCTGTTGTTGATGCGTCTTCTGCTAATGTATTTGTTGTAAATATATTTATCGATAGAGGTTCTTCCATCTTCTTTTGAATTTTATGATCAGCTTGAATCCATTGTATAAGTTCGTTAAGTTCAACAACAACGCCTTTCATCTATGAACAAGAACAATAGTAAAATTAAACAAAGAGTACTTTCACATTGTATTTCCTTTTCTATAGTTCTGAGTCCATATTCTATGGACTACTACATCCATACAATAGGCATATATTGATATAATTTGTCGAAGAAGATGAATATTAGGAACGATTTTGCGCCATAATTGACCACTGACAACCATAACAATTCGTTCATTCGAAGACTGTGCTTTAATATATTCCTCACATTCATGAACATCTTGAAATTTTGCCAAATGATTTATAATTGAACGCAATTGCTGTTCAGTATGACGACCATCTGTACTGCTTGATCCAGGATCTAGCCAAACAAGATGAAACATTTCTAGATGCATACCATCTCATGTTTTGTCAGCTGCAGAAGTATGTTTCACTGCGGTAGCCATTTCTTCTTAAAAAAAAAGAAAAAAAACTGAATTCAAACATACATTTCTGTGTGTTCTTATTTTGATTATGTTGAATAGAACTATCACGATTAGTGGAAAGGTAACTCAAATTTAATTTCACTCTTTAACTGATCGGAATTAAAGAGAAAAAAATCCAATTCTAAATAAGAAATCCAAACAAGAAAAACTTCCAACTTTTTACAATTCACCTGAGTGAAATGAGTTTTGTTTCTGTTTTCTTATGAATGCTGTCGTTTTTTTTCTCTTTTTCACTCTTCTGCCCGTCAACATTTCGAAGCTATTCTCCGAGATTTTGTTTGCTTCGTTCTTTTAACTTTTTTTGAATATGCGTACATTTCAAATTTTACTTATGTCAATACCAATCAGAGATGAACAAAGTCGCACCGCGCTTCCCCACGCTTCCCCGCGCCGTTGCTCACGCCTACGCTACACTAGTCTGAGCTTCGATGAGCGCATGCTTAGAGCATCCCGGTATTCGGTGGAGTTTGAGAAACTGATTGGTAGACCAAAGAGAAAGAGAGATGTGTGTAGCGCCTAGGCGCGAGCAGTGGCGCGGGGAAGCGCGGGGAGGCGCGGTGCGATTTTGTTCATCTTTAATACCAATCACAAAAATCAAGTATTTTTATTTCGACATGTATTTGAGCACAGTGAAAAGAATAATATGGGTGTGCGTAGTAGTATCCTGCGGGAACGACTTTTTCTGATTCCCATTCACTAAAAAAAAATTTTTGTTCCCATTCCCTTTTTCCCATTCCGTAGAAAAAATTTTTTGTTCCCATTCTCACGTTCCCATTCCCATAGTTCCCATAAGATTTTCTAAGGCTCTGTTCATCTATGCGAAAGTGTCATTGGCATATATGTATACCAGTTTCTCGCAACATCACGTTTTGCGCATCGCGACGCTGTTACATAATGCTTCACTTATTTTCTTTTTCTGTTTTGTTGTGCTTGTTGGCATTGGTTAAGCAGGTGCTCCTGCGTATATGCACTATACATTCAAGCTGGTGTGCTTTTTCCTTAAAAAAGTGTTCCATTGTGTAATTAGAAAATGTATAGTCCAACATAGTGTTCATCATATAGAGAGAATGTTCCTCTTATAGTAAAGTGTTCCCTCCCCTCACTCAAATAGAAAATTAAAAAAATTAAAGATAAATATTGAGATTATTTATTGATAAATCGTTTGTTTTTTTGTTGTAAATAACCTTAATATTTATTTATAGTTTTTTTTTATTTTCTATTTGAGGGAAGGAAGAGAAAATAATAATGTATCGCAAGATGATCTTGGTAATGTCATTTTCGAAGTCGATGATGAAAAAGAAAATAATATTTGTGATGATTAAATTACGATGTGATTAAGAATAAATCAATAGTCTATTTTTTGTTGATACACATTTATTATTTTTTTGTTAATTGTATATGAATAAGAAAAGTTATTGAAAATAAACAGTTATCAGATAGAAATATTTTTATATGTATTGAAATAAGATAAAAAAGAATTTTGGGAACGTCAATTTTTAATTCTGTTCCCATTCCCATGTTCCCATTCCCTAAGTCTAAATGAGAATTCCCATTCCCATCTTCCCATTCCCTAAGTCTAAATGGGAATTCCCATTCCCATTCCCATGGGAATGGGAATGGGAAAATTAGGGAAAAAAGTCGTTCCCGCAGGACACTAGTGCGTAGGTGTGGGTGTGAGTATGGGTGTGGGTGTGGGTAGGTGTGGCTGTGGCTATGGGTGGAGTGTAGGTGTGGGTATCGGTGTGAGTACCTTAGTAAAATATACCGACACCCACACCCACCTCCACCCACACCACACATCCCGCACCCATATCTCACACCCCACATACCACACCCACATCCACCCACATCTCACACCCACACACACCCCATCCCACATCCACATCCCACACCCACACACACCCCATCCCACACCCACACCCGCACCTATACCCGCACCCATACCCACCCACACCCACACCCACACCCACCTACACCCCACACCCACCCACACCCCACACCCACACCTACATACCACACCCACACCGACACCCACACCCACCACACCCACACCCTCATTTGATATATATTGAAATATGATCCGGAATAATATTATTTCCTATTCTGTAAGATCTGTGAACCGAGCATTTTGTACAAATATCGCTTTTGGTTCCTTCAAGGACTTGCTCTTAATAAACCTAATCATAAGTCAGAAAAAAAATCTAAACATATATTTGGAAAGAGCGTGAAATGCTGATTCTAGTAGGGTACTTTTGATTCTCTCGAATGAATTATACATGATAGAAAACTAACTAAACATGTAGTGCAAACATTTTTGCAAGAAGTGTAAAAAATTTTCCTAAAAAAGGTGCATACTATTCTCACATGCATATCTCTCGCATTTCTTGAGCTATCACCTTCATTTTTACACCATAAGTACAGGTTCAAATGCTCTTTAAAATGACTATTTGCTTTTTGAAATTACTTGAGTGTTTGCAGAGATATATCGATTATAAAAGTTCTGTGAACGTTTTTTCCATACCTTAGAATAAGCATTGGTTTCATTAATTCAACGTGATTTATTTGAAAGGAAAGAAAAGAAAAAAAATAATCCATTGTTTTGAGTATATTCGATTGAAAAACGTTGAACACGATGATTATCCGAATCGACGACATAGAGATTGCCATGACGATCGAAGGACAAACCTCGGGGATAATTGAACTGGTTTGCTTCTCGACCATTTCCACCCACAATGACAGTGTTCTGTTTCGCTCCTTTAGACCAACGCATCACTCGATCATTCCCCGAGTCTGCCACGTAGATGGTACCCAGTGTATCGCTGAACAGTCCGTTAGGATGCGACATTTGTGTCAGAGCATTCCCTTGGCCTTGACCGCCAGCGACGACAATTCCTTCTGTTGCACCTTTATTCCATTTCATTACACGATGATTGTTGTTGTCTGACACGTAGACAGTCTGTTGTTGATCGACAAAGATGTGGGTCGGATAGTTGAGTTGATTGAGACCAGAACCTTTGCCATTACCACCAGCCACAAGAGTTCCATTGTTATCTCCTATTTGATATCGTCTTACTTGATGTTTTTCGACGTTAGAGATATAGAGATATCTCTGATCATCCATGGCCAATCCCCAACACTTGATGTTGTCGATGAGAATTTCTCCTTGAGTTGTGCCACTACGACGAGGCCATCGTACGACTCGTCTATTCCATCGATCACAAATAATGAGACTATTCGTCTCTTTGTCAATCAGCACATCAGTTGGACCCGACAATTGATTTAATTGATTTCCGTTGCCATTGTCACCCGCTACTACTTGTCTATTCGTATCACCCATCTTCCATTGGATGATACGATGATTTCTGTAGTCAGCGATGACCATCGTTTGATCATCATCAATGAAGAGACCAAAAGGACGGTCGAGTTGATCGGTGGCATTGCCATATCCATGGCCTCCAGCAACAGTCGTACCATTCGGTTTCCATCGGGCACCGGCTGGAATATTGAGAATTACTACAATGAACCAAAAAAGAAAATGAATCATCGTTATCGAAGAGATCTCCCTCTCTCTCGCAAGGGGAAAGAGCTATGAAGGAGACATTCGTCTTCTTTGAAGGGAATTAGGTAAAACGTTCGACCATGTTCTTTTCGCAGAGAAAAATTCAAAAATCTTTTTTACATCTACGCTACTTTTAGTTTTTACCAAGATCTGGTGGATCCTAAAAACTACACTTGGAGATTGCTGCAAGGATGTACTCCGAGAAAGAGCCATGCTTATGCAATGCAAGCTTTCGATAGAAAAATATAGAGATCTGAGGATTCTGAGAAGATTCAAGAACATCTTTGAAATGTGATACTTTCTACAATGAGGGTTATTCCGAATTCGCTTATAAGCCTCCAGCCAATAAAAATAGGGATGAACATATATCGTTTGTTGCTAAGAGCGGCTTGTCTTTAGCTGACATTGTCTGACAATCTTGACTAGCCGCCAAATTCACTTGATTTACATCAGTTGAATTAATGTGTTACATCGAATTAGGGATGCGCCAATTCCAGAAAATTGGATTCAAAGATGCTATGTTTGCGATACCAAGCACTACCAATTCCGACCAATTTTTAGTGTTAAACTTGACCACCTTGAATCGCTCTACCTGTAGTGGTTGTCGGACTGCACTAAATACGATTAAAAGATATCAGAATTGGTCGGAATTGGCTAAAAATCCTAAATTTTCGACCAATTATGCCATCGTTTGATTGTATTTAGTGGAATCCGGCAATCACTACAGGTAGAGCGATTCAAGGCGGTCAAGTTTAACACAAAAAATTGGTCGGAATTTGTGGTTCTTCATATCGCAAAAATACCATCTTTGAGGCCAATTTTCTGGAATTGGTGCATCCCCTACATCAAATTTAGAAATTCAATTTTTAATATACTTTATTCCAGAATAAATCTGTAGGTCTAGTGAGTTTTTATTTACCTTTTAACAAAAGAGATGATTCTTATGTATTAATGACTCATTCATTTCATAAGATATTAAGCAAGTCAAGATCGTCGCAAGTAAGCCAAACATGTGAATTTAGGAAATGTTCCTTATTCCACACAGAAATTACGAATCAATCAAATAACAGACTTTATATTTCGTCCCAGTTCAATCAGTTTTTTATTTTGTGTATGATTAACTGTCAAAGCAAACGGAATATAGTCAAATTAGGCCTCAACCATTCAATTTTATGAACTGCTTTTAATTGAACTTTTTAGAGTAGCTGTTTCTTTTTTTTTTTTTACTTTTTGGAGTAATGATAATTTTTTTATCAATATTGTTAAACCGAATTGATAGTCTCTTATAAGTAAAAACTTAATCTACGTAAAAATACAGGTTTCTTTTTAAATAGTAAACACTTATTTTTAAAAGCAGAACTATTTCAAATATTTCACGCTTTTCTTTTCTAATATATTTTTTCCTTATAACCCTGACGGTGGTTTTAAAAGAGATGATACTCTTAAATGTGTAACTTAGGTTTCATGTTGTGACTGCAGTCTGTTCATCGATACTTCGTGAAAGTTATATTTGCTATTGATAAACATGATAATAATATGATTTCGATACAATTATATTCCTTAAGAAAGTATATTGACCTAATTATTTGATTCGAAAAATATTTTTATTATTTTTCTGAATTCTTTAGATCAGAATAATCTTAATCTAGATGGTATCAAATTGTCTCTCTAACATATAGAGATTGATAAACTTTAGTTCTTTTGTGATCCATTTTTTCATTGAATGTTAAAAGATTAGTCATTGATAATAATTTACCGAGTCTCTCCTCAATAAAACAAGGTCTCAAAAAAAAAAAATTCTAATTGAACTTTCGTTATTGCGAAAACGATTCAAAGTCTTCTATTTCAGAACACGTATCTTTCGACTGATATTTATTTGTCATCTTTTTTAAGTGATATCGACGCAGAATTGTAATGTGCTTTTTGTATTTTGATACACTAGGCACATCCATATTCATATATGGATCGAATAAATACTAGTTTTGCCTTTTTTTCTCATGAGAAAACTCAAAATATAAAGAAAGAAAACTTTATAACCAAATCGTCATTCATTTTCTTTCTACATGAACTGATAAATAATTGCGTTTGACATATTCAATATCTAGCTTCGTAGCATCACTTAATCAAAATATGGAAATGCATAAAAATTTAAAACGATAATTTATATAGGATCTTCCTAACTATAAAGGATAATATTATTTTCCGCTAAGAGAAGTTGGTGAAACTTCAATCAGTCAAAAGCAAATTAATTATATCAGAAATAAATTATCTCAATAAAAATGAGAACGACTAATATATGTGTCGTATGGAGATTAGTTCAGAAAAACCAGGAAATAAATGGCATATCTATTCATGAATGATTTTCTGATTAAAATACATATTTAACTTCGAATGATTAAAAATGTCAATTCATATTAGCAAATCGAATCAACGGAAGACATGCTTGATGATAGTTTGAAGCATCACTTCAATTGACAGCTCATGCAAAGAAAATCGATCATACGTGAACAGAATGAGGTAATTATTAAATCAAGATAGATTATAAATTAGATCAATAAAATTAATTCAAAAAAGACCGTATCAAACTGATTTATAAATAATCAAACTAGCGAATGCGAAATCAAAAAATTATTAAAAGTTACATTTCTTTGTTGGTTTATTAGATTTATGTCGATCTTTGCGTATATTTTTCTCTGATATTAATCCCACCATTAATTCAAGACAGACAGCAACTATAACCGAAGAAAAAAACAATCAACACTTCAGCATCCTCTATCGGATACTGATATATATAGAGATTTGAAATGAAATCCAAATCTCGGGAAGGAAAAATCAGTCATGAAAATTTCTGAGATTCTTTAGTGTGGGTGACTTTCTTTGTGTGAATTGTGAATTGAAGTAATGTTTCAAGCTATCATAAAGCATGTCTACGGTCAACTCCATTTACTAATATCCTTGTGTGTGATCTGAATCTTACATTAAATATAAAAAGTGTTATTCGATCAGAATTTATAATTTTCGTTCATAATATTTGAAGTTTTTAGTTATTTACAGTCACAGAAATATTTATCTTTATTATCGAAATAAAAAGTGAAATTTTACTGTATATTTTAATGAGAAAATCATTCATCAATGAGTAGTTATTTCTTTGCTAGTTGATTTGAAATCACTTCAATACAACATACATTCTGCTACTATTATCTGTTATATAGTTGTGTTTTAATATTCGAGCTCGATGTAAATGACATATAATTAAAATTCAAACGAAAATAAAATTTCCGACTGATATCGGGCATGAGAGAAGACCAATAGAAAGTTAAAATAATACTGAAAAAAATCCATTGCTAGTTAGAACAAAGTATATGTTTTCACGAAAGAAAATAATTAATACTAAAACTCACTATTTCTATAAATAAAAAATTTCACTATAAATTTTTGCCTAGACTAATGAATTATAGTTTATATGAAAAATATATTATTCTTAATTACATTTTACATTTGTTAGTTTAAAATTTGATATCTATTAGATTGTTTATAAAAATTGGTTATTCTTAAGAATAACTCGTCATACTATTGTACAAATAATAAATAGGAATAATAATCATAAAAGATGACATACAGAAAAATATGAATTTATAACTGTCAAAGGAAACATAAATGATCTTATGATAATCGAAGATGATTTTCAAAGAGTCGATATATATATATATATATATTTTTTTTTTTTATTAAATGAATAATTTTTATGGTCTTTTTCAATTGAATCTTCAATGGAAATACGAAGAGATAGCTCAGAGTTATTGTTTCAAGAGAATGAGCAAAGTAGACGACAATACATAACACTACCCAACGAGTGAATCACACGAAACCTGGCAGTATGTGTTTTAAAATAACATAAAGCTTTAAAGTTGAAAGAATCTCTACTCATATGAATATAATATTAATAAAAGAATATGAGAATGAACTATATAGGTCATTACTATTCAACAGATATTAATGAACAGAACTACATTATGGAAAAAAAGACTTAAAATCATTGTACGTAATGCTTCAACATTCTTTAGAAATAAATGAGAATTGAGAGTTCAAATGAGTTTCTAGAAAATATCTCTTACGTCAATTGCAGCCCAACAAACACATTTAGACATTAGCTATCTATATCTTAAATGACATAGTTTTTGAGAATAACGTGGTAGTTGAACATATACTAAGTTTATACGTATTAGCTATAACGTAAGAAGATCTTTGATTCGCTCAACATTACTATCATGATATAGAAATAAAGAAAGAAATATCAATGCCATCGTAAAAAAGTTTATAAAAACAATCACATAAAGAAAGAAAATTTTCTATAAACAGAATCGATAATATTTGACATTTGTTTCATCAATTCGATTCTAATCATCAACTATTTTAGTCATCTAAAATGGCTGTTTGATAAGCAAAAAAGAAGGATTTCTCAACGGAATCGATTATGAATTTTCATGAGTTTCGCCATTCTGAATTTTTACAACTGCATTGTGCATAATACAACATTCATTTTTATATAAGATATTTGTTTCAAGATAAGACTTCCTTTCGATAAACGTACCCCTAGAATAGCTACGTTCATCATCATTCAATATGCCAGTTAATACATTTGGATTTTTGAGGGCGAGTGATTTTTGATGCCATTGAACGCTTTTGTCATAGTCACCAGCATGTGATGCGATTTTGCCAAGATCTTCGTACAAATCACCAAGTAAAGGATCATTCGGTGGAAGTTCTTTTAATAAACGAGTAAAACATTGTTCAGCTAAATCAAATTTTCCCATTTCCCATAATACTTTTCCTAATGTTCGAAGATTTGTTTCTCCAGTTCCAAGTTGTTGTTTCATAGACATGAGAACATTTTTTAAATCATGCTCTTTCTCACTACACAAAGTCATTCGGATGATCCATACTTGATTATCATTGCTGTAATCGATGTTGTCCAAACGAAAAATAGATCCAAGCATAAAGAGTATTTCTGATTCGCCAGGAAATTCACTGTCTGCACTGATATCAGCAAATGGTTTTGTAGTTGTCACCTTAGGATCAGCAACGATTTCAAATAATACTGATTCTAAATTGTTTGTATTATCAGAAGCATTGAGAAATGAAAGGGCATTTTTTTCATCAGTGCTGGTGGAAAAAAAAGACTTTACTGAAATAAACTGACCACGGCATTGTTTTAAAGTTTCCAATTCATCGCTTGATATCCTTTGTCCTCGATAAACTCGTAGAGGATTCTTAGCTTGATGATATTTCAATTGACGTTGAATATCAGAGATAAATCCACGAAATAAAAAAATCATATGAATATTTTCGGTACGTAGAACTGCATTAAGAGTTTTGTAAAAGAACGATTCTCGTGTATACCACCATAAGACTTTATCAGGCGAATAATCCTTTTGAAATTCACGAAGATTGCTCAACTCAACACTATTATCTTCATATTGCTGTTTACAACGATCAATAAGTTCTTTTGTATCTGTTTGATTGGATTTTAGTCGTAGAAGACAATCAATGAGAACTTGAGAAAAAACAAATTGACCATTTATACCCATTGTTGATTTACCGACACCAGTACTTGTAGTAAAAATATTAATTGATAATGGTTCTTCCACCATTTTCTGAATTTTATGATCAGCTTTAATTCGAGCGATAAGTTCATCAAGTTCAACAACAACAGCTTTTACCTATCAATAAAATATTATAAAATGAAATCGAAATCATTCAGTCGAATTTTACTTTTGCAAATTTGTCAGTCCATTTTTTGTTGTCTTCCTTATCCATGCAGTACACATAGATCGATATAACTTGTCGAAGCTTGTGAATAGAAGGAACTATTTCTCGTCCGAATCGACCACTAACAATCATGACTAGTCGTTCATTTTGTGATCGTTCTTCAATATATTTTTGACATTGTTTTACATCTTGAAACTTCTTCAGACGATTAATAATAGCACGTAATTTTTGTTCTGTATCTCGGTCATCTTTGGCGTTGATATTGTCATCGAGCCAGATAAGGCAGAATATTTCAAGTTGCTCATCGTCGATATTTGTATGGAGGTCATCAATAGATAGAGCAGATTCAGCCATGTTAATCGAGAAGGCTGAATAAGATAGAAGTTTCGGATGCAGTCGTTTTGATTCAGTTATCAAATGTATGAGTACTTTTTACGATCTAAAACGAATGTTATGCGCTCACTTTTATTATCTTATTTATTAGTATTTATGATGCTATTTAAGATGATAGAAGAACAAGAGACCCGAGTTCGTTGAAGAAAATGACTTCTCTCTGGCCTTAAGCTTTAGTAGGTAAGATCATCGAACTAATGTGCAAAATTTTAGTATGGATCGAAGTTATTTGTATTTTTTTTCATTTAGTCCTCTAATAAGATTATCAACCAGACGATATTATCTCTCAGTAAGTTCGATGCTGTCAGTTGCTAGTGTGTAAATTCTTGGTTTCAAACAGTATGATTCATAGTCATGATTTTCGTCTTTAGAAAATCCCTACAACAAACTCAGTTAAATCTATCAAATCAAGTCGTACATTGTGACACTGGAAGAAATAGTAGATTAAACCTTGTATAATAAGTTACCATCTTCTTCGAATTTTTCAAATATATGATAGTAAAATATGAATTGTGGTCTTCATTCTCTAAATATTATTATTAAAGATCTTTCATTGAAATTGCTACCAAGGGGGTAGAAGGTCTTTTTTGTCTCGAAACCTGCTCTAAAGTTGAAAAGATCTCACGAGGGTGTGTGGATGTGGGTATGTGAGGGTGTGGGTGTGATTTAAGAGTGAGATCACACCCACATTCATGCTCACACCTAAACCCACACCCACACCTGCACCTACACTCACACCCACACCCTAAAGCGCACGTGTCTATAACGTATTTTACATTTTACTCCTGCAGTGGGTTACGATAACGATTTTTTCTATATTGCATCCGTTTGATATCAACGGAATAGGGTGTGAGTGTGGGTGGGTGGGTGTGGATGTGGGTATAAGTGTAGGCGACGCTGAAGAGAAGGCCCACAGCCTCAGACTCATACACCCACCCACCCCCCATGCACTCACACCCACACCCTGAATTCAGAATTGATTAGGCCCCAAAGCCTTCCTTCACTGTAAAAAAAGCGTAGAATAATAAACCCTTAAATGGTTTGGGAAAATGCAACGTAGCCTAAACGCTTTTTACCTTACACAAAATGTTTATAAACTCTTTCCTAAACCCTTTTATAAGGGTGCAGGAAAGGGTATATGAATTTCATAAACCTTTTCATGTACCCTTTGCAAGGGTTTATGAAAGGGTATTTGAGATTCATAAACCCCTAAAGGATTTAGGCTACGTTGCATTTCCCCAAACCCTTATAAGGGTTTATGGGATCCATCCTATAACCTAAAAGGGACTATTAGAATGGATGGAAGTGTAGGGTGATGATTATTATCTCGTATATGTGAGGAAAAAAAGAATGTTCTGTATTACGATGGTTTGAAGGGGAATATATTTGTATAACTCAACTTAACAAAAGAATTGAATCTTTAGCTGTATCTTAACTAGGCGAAGATATAAGAGTCTTTTTTTCTATGTCTCAACTAAACGAAAAAATACGAAGTTTTCTTTATACAGTAGGGTGCAAAAAAAGTTGCCGTTAGTATTCGACAAAGTTATTTCGCTGAAGATGATGAATATCAAAAGCTTTTTTTCGTACATAGTGCATACATCATCGAGTATACAAATATAATAATTGACAGCTACCTTGGCCTTCTTACAAGACAAAAAGAGGGAAATAGTTTGTCTTCATCGCTATAC